TAATTTTAAAATGGCCATAACTCCTTAAATATTGAGTTTAGAGCGTTTTTAGTTATTATTTGTGATCACTTTTTTAAGTGTGAATTAATCAATATTTTAAAATGGCCATAACTCCTTAAATATTGAGTTTAGAGCGTTTTTAGCTTTTATTTGTGATCACTTTTTTAAGTGTGAATTAATCAATATTTTAAAATGGCCATAACTCCTTAAATATTGAGTTTAGAGCGTTTTTAGCTATTATTTGTGATCACTTTTTTAAATGTGAATTAATCAATATTTTAAAATGGCCATAACTCCTTAAATATTCTCTTTAGAGCGTTTTTAGCTATTATTTGAGATCACTTTTTTAAGTGTGAATTAATCAATATTTTAAAATGGCCATAACTCCTTAAATATTCACTTTAGAGCGTTTTTAGCTATTATTTGTGATCACTTTTTTAAGTGTGAATTAATCATAATTTTAAAATGGCCGTAACTCCTTAAATATTCACTTTAGAGCGTTTTTAGTTATTATTTGTGATCACTTTTTTAAGTGTGAATTAATCAATATTTTAAAATGGCCATAACTCCTTAAATATTGAGTTTAGAGCGTTTTTAGCTATTATTTGTGATCACTTTTTAAGTGTGAATTAATCAATATTTTAAAATGGCCATAACTCCTTAAATATTGAGTTTAGAGAGTTTTTAGCTATTATTTGTGATCACTTTTTTAACTGTGAATTAATCATAATTTTAAAATGGCCATAACTCCTTAAATATTGAGTTTAGAGCGTTTTTAGCTATTATTTGTGATCACTTTTTTAACTGTGAATTAATCATAATTTTAAAATGGCCATAACTCCTTAAATATTGAGTTTAGAGCGTTTTTAGCTATTATTTGTGATCACTTTTTTAAGTGTGAATTAATCATAATTTTAAAATGGCCATAACTCCTTAAATATTGAGTTTAGAGCGTTTTTAGCTATTATTTGTGATCACTTTTTTAAGTGTGAATTAATCATAATTTTAAAATGACCATAACTCCTTAAATATTGAGTTTAGAGCGTTTTTACCTATTATTTGTGATCACTTTTTTAAGTGTGAATTAATCATAATTTTAAAATGGCCATAACTCCTTAAATATTCACTTTAGAGCGTTTTTAGTTATTATTTGTGATCACTTTTTTAAGTGTGAATTAATCAATATTTTAAAATGGCCATAACTCCTTAAATATTGAGTTTAGAGCGTTTTTAGCTATTATTTTTGATCACTTTTTAGGTGTGAATTAATCAATATTTTAAAATGGCCATAACTCCTTAAATATTGCGTTTAGAGCGTTTTTAGCTATTATTTGTGATCACTTTTTTAAGTGTGAATTAATCATAATTTTAAAATGGCCATAACTCCTTAAATAATCACTTTAGAGCGGTTTTAGCTATTATTTGTAATCACTTTTTTAAGTGTGAATTAATCAGTATTTTAAAATGACCATAACTTTTTAAATATTGAGTTTACAGCGTTTTTAGCTATTATTTTTGATCACTTTTTAGGTGTGAATTAATCAATATTTTAAAATGGCCATAACTCCTTAAATATTGAGTTTAGAGCGTTTTTACCTATTATTTGTGATCACTTTTTTAAGTGTGAATTAATCATAATTTAAAAATGGGCATAACTCCTTAAATATTGAGTTTAGAGCGTTTTTAGCTATTATTTGTGATCACTTTTTTAAGTGTGAATTAATCATAATTTAAAAATGGGCATAACTCCTTAAATATTGAGTTTAGAGCGTTTTTAGCTATTATTTGTGATCACTTTTTTAAGTGTGAATTAATCAGTATTTTAAAATGGCCATAACTTTTTAAATATTGAGTTTACAGCGTTTTTAGCTATTATTTGTGGTCACATTTTTAAGTGTGAATTAATCAATATTTTAAAATGGCCATAACTCCTTAAATATTGAGTTTAGAGCGTTTTTACCTATTATTTGTGATCACGTTTTTAAGTGTGAATTAATCATAATTTTAAAATGGCCATAACTCCTTAAATATTGAGTTTAGAGCGTTTTTAGCTACTATTTGTGATCACTTTCTTAAGTGTGAATTAATCAATATTTTAGTATGGCCATAACTCCTTAAATATTGAGTTTAGAGCGTTTTTAGCTATTATTTTTGATCACTTTTTAGGTGTGAATTAATCAATATTTTAAAATGGCCATAACTCCTTAAATATTGCGTTTAGAGCGTTTCTAGTTATTATTTGTGATCACTTTTTTAAGTGTGAATTATTCATAATTTTAAAATAACCATAACTCCTTAAATACTGAGTTTAGAGCGTTTTTAGCTATTATTTGTGATCACTTTTTAAGTGTGAATTAGTCAATATTTTATAATGGCCATAACTCCTTAAATATTGAGTTTAAAGCGTTTTTAGCTATTATTTGTGATCACTTTTTTAAGTGTGAATTAATCATAATTTTAAAATGGCCATAACTCCTTAAATATTGAGTTTAGAGCATTTTTAGTTTGCAAGTTACAAACAAATGCACAAAGTGCTTAAACCAATTATATGCAACTTGTGGCCCAACTGTATACAACCAATGTTTTTCGCCCGATGTAAAACTATTAAGAAAAGAATACGATATTTATAGATTGATAGACGTGCCTCATTGTGAAGCATACTTACAGGCACTTTATTTTATATTTCGGGCCATGGCATTTCGGGCCACTTTTATACTGGTAGTTGCAATGGTGTAATACTGGTGTTGTAACCGAAAGTAATTAAGAAAATTAATGTTATGTATTAATTTTAACTTATTTACATATATTTATTAAATAGTGTGAAAATATATCACATTAATATCTTTTTTCCTTATGCGGCTGAGGTATCAGAAATAGTGGCCCGATTTATTTTATGTTTCCGCTTAATATAGTTAGAACCAGTAAGGAAAAGTCAAAAGTCGGGCAGGGCCGACTATATGATACCCTATACCACTATGCAGGTTCTTTGCCGATAAAATTTGATAAAATTTGGCAAAGGTATTTCAGAGCTCTATAAGATAATTGCTACCAAGTACCATTGTTGTCGAATGCGTAAAATGCGGATGTGTGGAACTTAAATACCAAATCGGATGAAATATATATATATAGCTATAGCTATATCTGAACCGATTTTCTCCGAATTTAATGTGCTTGCTTCTAGTCTGAGTTTGATCGGATATGTCAAAATTTAATGTGCTTGCTTCTAGTCTGAGTTTGGTCGGATATGTCAAAATTCAGATGATTTGGACTGATATTGGTCATTTGGTGTACATATAACCCGAAATCGGTTAAGGATATATATGAGAGCTATAGCCAAATCTGGACCGATCTTGAAAAAATTTGATACACTTATTTCGAACCTGTATCTAATATTTTGTACCAAAGATTATTGTTGTGGAATGCATATTACGCTTGTGAGGGACCTTAAACCTCGAATCGGGTAAAACATATGTATGAGACCTATAGCTATATCTGAACCGATTTACACAAAATTTGAAATACTAGTTTATAGGATGAATTCAGTCGTAATTGCCAAAATTCGGTCCATTTCGGCTGATATTAGCCATTTGGTGCACAATAAACCCGAAATCGGTCGAAGATATATATGGAGTGCATATTACGCATGTGAGGGAGTTAAAACTCCAAATCGCATGATCCATACGTATATTCTTGATCAGCATAAAATTCTATGTCGATTTAGCTGTCCGTCCGTCTATGGATCACTCTAGCTTCTGAAAGAAATGAAGTAGGTTGCTAAGCTTTAACTCATATGCATATTATTTCTGCGGGACTTTTGGTATTGAAAATGGGTCACGTTTTGGTATAGCCCCCATATAACGGCACCCCCCTATATTCGGTATTTTGATGATTTTAGCGACATTATTCACCGGAATTGTTTCAAATTTGGTTTTGAAAGTTTGTAATGTATATAACAGCCTATGGCAGAAAATTGTCTATGCAGGTTCACATCTTCATATAGCCCCCATACAACTGCACCTCCCGATATTCGGTATTTTGATGATTTTAGCGACATTATTCGTCGGAAATGTTTCAAATTTGGTATTTGAAGTTCGTAATGGATACTACACCACATGACAGAAAATTGTCTGTGCAGGTTCACGTCTTCATATAGCCCCCATACAACGCCACCTCCCGATCTTCGTATGTTGAAGATTTTAGCGGCATTATTTATCGGAATTGTTTCAAATTTTGTATTTAAAGTTCGTAACGGATAATACAGCCTTACCTAAATACGATTTTTTTGTTATAGGCTGTAGTACCCATTATGAACTTTAAATACGAAATTCGTTACAATTCCGATGAATAATGTCGCACAAATCATAAAAATTCCGAGTATTGGGAGGTACCGGCATATGGGGACTATACGAAGACGTGGACCTGTACAGACAATTTTCTGTCATAGGTTGATGCACGCATTACGAACTTCAAATACGAAATTTTAAATGATTCCGGTAAATAATGTCGCTAAAATCATCAAAATACCGAATATCTGGAGATACGGTTATATGGGGGCAATACGAAAACGTGGTGCATACGAAATTTTGTTCCATAGGTTGTAGTAACCATTAAGATCTCCCAATACAACATTTGAAACGATTCCGGTAAATACTGCCGCTAAAATCATGAAAATACCGAATATTGGGAGCTACCCTTATAGGGGGGCTATACGAAGACGTGGCCCCATTACAAACTTCAAATACGAAAATTGAAATGATTCCGGTAAATACTGTTGCTAAAAATCATGAAAATACCAAATATCGGGGGGTACAGTTATGTGGTGGCTATACGAAGACGTGCACCTTTTTGCGAATTCCCAACAGGTCTCTTTAACACGTAATAAAAACTCAAAAATTTATTTATTTTATATCTATGCACATTTATTAATAAATAATTACAACAATTACATATAAAAATGCAGACTTATGGATTTCTGAATTGTGATCAGGTAAGTTTTGTGAGTTTTGGTTTTTGTTGTTGTTTTTTTCTTTTAATGAGAACAATTAAAAATCAGACTTTGTGAAATTCCCTAGCACTAAAACTAAATACTTATCGTTAACTACAAACTAGGAACACTAACAACTAATACTACTTATGGAATGGCGAAATTCTGCACCTACTACATATAGGTAATACGAATTTCGTTAGCAAAATAACGGAATATCAAATACATTCTGGCAAAGCAAAATTACATTGCAATTTTGCCAAATAGTTTGTTTTTTGTTTTGTTGTTTAGTTCCCCGTCATGGAGACCAAGCTTAGACGTCGGGGGGCCTCCGTTTGACCTTTCTTGTTGTTCTTGACAATAAGGAAACCAAGGAAACCAGCAACGATTAGCGATACTCCAGATGCAATGAAGGCACTGTCACAATGATTGGTGATGAGGGCGCCAACAATATTGGCTCCTGCTACACTGCCCAAACGACCCATCATTAGGGAAATGCAAACAGCCATGGCTCTGGAATTTGAAAAACGGAAGATTTAGTTTAAAAATATTTCCATAAATTTTTTAAGGAATAATTACCTTAAACGTGTGGGATATAATTCCACAGTGGCAGCACTCAAGACATTGATGCCCAAACCGCAGAGCAACAAGACCACATAGAGGTAAATGGCAATCATAGGTTGGTCCACAAATATCAGAACAACACCGCAGGCACCGCAGACAGCCAAGCAGACAACTAAAACGTTTGGGAAATATTCATTATTTTTATGTCCAAATTTGAATTTGAAATCACCTCGAACTTACATAATATCAAACGCTTGCCAACCTTGTTGATAATACCGCCAATCAGAGCAAATCCCACCGCATACAAAACTTCCAACGTCAACGAATGTTGATACGTGGAGATTTCCAATTTCTCATTACATTCCCCAACCAAATTTGCATCCTGTTTCAATGCCATTTCCAATTCCATTGTGGCTTTCTGTTTGGCATAGACCACCTCGCATATATAGGTCCTGTTGTTCGGATTCTCATTCATAAATTCGGCCACACTATTCAAAATCGATGGGAACCACATGTACATGCCGTTCGAGGTGCAGAAAATGAAAAATTGTATGGTACAAATAAGGATGGTAGTCCGGGCATATTGACGATTGAACAATGGCTGAGTTTGAGTCCACATCGATTTGAGTACGTTGAGTATGGGATTTGAACGACCACTTAGATCGGCTGGTGTTTGAGGTTTATTGTTGTTGCTACCGCTATCCAAATCCTCTTGGACATGGGCGATCTGGAAAAGAATGGAAATTTTGGGTAATTAATATTTGAAGAGTAGATTGATAGGTTGAGAGGTAGATAGACAGTTCTTCGGAATATAAAGACCTCTTAGAGACCTATAATGACTTGTCAGGAGACTTCCATAGACTGAAGACCGTTTGCGGATCGGTTCGTCTTGTTAGATGTATTTTATGGGTCTTCCATGGATAAAAGGACTTCTCAAGATCCATGACCTCTGTTATAGAAAGCCTTGTTGAGATTTTTGTACAGGTCTTTTATGGATAAAACCCCTTTTATAGGCCTTCGATAGATACGATGCCTTCATGGGTCTTACATACGTAAAAGATCTTCTTCATGCCTTCTATAGGTGGGAAAATTCTCCGAATATAAATACCTATTAGAGATCTTTTATGACTTTTCAGGAGACTTCCATAGACCGAAGACCTCTTGATATTATCTTGTCTATAGATAATATCACCCTTATAGGTCCTCCATAGATATAAGACCTCCCATAGCTCTTCTATAGGCAGAAGATCACTCACAGGCCTTCTATATGTAGATATCTTGTTGGATATATTTGTATGGGTCTTCCATGGATAGAAGGACTTCTGAAGATCGATTACCTCTGTTTTAGAAAGCCTTCTTGTGATTTTTTATAGGTCTTTTATGGATAAAAGACCTATAGGTCGTCAATTGGTACGATGCCTTTTATGAGTTTACTATGTACAGTAGAGCTCTCATGGGTCTTCCATAGATAAAAGCACTTCCACATGCCTTCTATAGATGGGAGAATTCTCATAGTTCTTCCGTATGTAAAGACCTATTACAGGTCTTTTATGACTTTTCAGAAGACAGAAGACCTCTTGCAGTTCATCCATAGATAGTGTCACCCTTATGGATCCTCCATAGATAGAAGACCTCTCACGGGACTTCTATAGGCCAAAGATCACTCACATGCCTCCTATATGTAGATGTCTTATTAGAGGTTCAATGTTATGGGTCTTCAATGGATAGAAGGACTCGAATATGTCTTTTATAAATAGAAGACCTCGGAGAGGCCTTCTATATATAGACGACCCTTCACAAATCTGTTTATGGAAGGTTTTTTGTACATAGGCCTTTTAAAGATCGATAATCTCTTACAGGCCTTTTATAAGATCTTATACATCTCTCCCATGTAAAGAAGAGGTCTGCAGATAAAATACCTCTCAGAAAGTGAAATACCCTTCCCATTTCTCAAATGGCCCGAAGTTCTTTTATATGAAATAATTTCTTTCAATTTACTTACCGGAAATTCCTCTTTCGCCTTTCCGGTATTGATGCTATAGATCTTCTGCAGAATCTCCACACATTTCTCCTCCTGACCCAGGCTGAGTAAAAATTTAGGACTCTCGGGAATTTTGAATAGACTGAGGCCACACAGCAAACCGGGGAGGCCACAGACAACCATAAACAACCTCCATGGCTTGTAGGTCAAACCCAAAAATGGCAATGGCAAACGCCATTCTTGATTGATGAAAATCCAGGCAATGGCAGGCATTAGCATTGCACCAACACCGAAAATAAATGCCGAACCCATTATGGCTCTCGAACGGTTCTTTTGCGTGTGGAATTCACCCAAATAGGCATAGATGGTGGCCGAGCCGCCGGAAACGCTGGAAAATTATAGAAATTTTTATTAAAAATTCCATCTTTAAGGGAAAAAAGTGATTATCTTACCATATGCCATTCAAATATCTCAGGATAACCAATGTCCAGAAATTGGTCGAAAAACTCGAGACAACTGTTATTAGAAATCCCACCAGCAATGTTGGCCGTATAACACTCCTTCTCCCCGTTGTGTCCGCCAAAAATCCCCACAGATGTGAGCTGCTAATGATCCCCGCAAATCCAATGGCACTCATTATGCCCTGTTCCTGTACCGATAAATTCAAATCACACTGTGATACGGGCAATACAAAACTTATGCCCAATGTCTCCAGCAAGACATTGGCAAGTATGAGACCACTTATCAAAATCAACAGGTAATTAAATTTGCCAAAAGCTATGGAGAGAGGAGAGAATTTGTATTATTATTTTGTTATTGTATTTTATTCATTATTATGCTTCTTACTTGTTGCCTCCAATGCAGTTTCATAATATTCGGTGCCTTTACTCAATGGTGTGGGAGTAAAAGTGCCATTGCCACCCCCTTCCACTGTGGAAACTGTGAGCTTGGATTTCTCGGCTGTAAATGAAAAGAAACATGTGTTTTTGTTATTTTTTGTGGGAATTATTTAAAAATAAATAAAAATCTAAACTAAAATCTCCTAAGTCATGGCATATTATTTGCCCTATGATCTCAAAATCGAATATGGCTTACGAAAACTTGAGTTTTTTAATTTAAAGAATCGTTTTTTAGACATTTCAATACCAAATGTGAGTCAATCGAATGTCGACTTACGTATCCCTATTTAAAATTTTCCATCCGTTAAAAAAAAAGGTGCGAACAATCTGATAAGATATATAACAATAATAGGCCTTTAATTGATTTTTAATTTGAAAAACATTTGAAAACTGATTTGAAGAAAATATAAACATAGTTATTATCAACTCATTTTTTCTCTTTTTATTTCCCACGCCCGCTCTCTCTCTCTCTCATCACACCCTTTTTTTAAACTGACTCAAACGTCAGCCTATTTTTAACCATTTACCGGGTTTTTTTTCAACTTCCTCCGGATGTTTAATATTCCCAATTTGTGACTGATTTATTATCAGCAGAACAAATTCGTTTATTATTATCAGTTGCAGATAATTTTTTCGACAATGTTATTTTTATTATCTTCTATAGATATTTTAATTTAACACATACAAAAGAAAAATCAAAATGAATTCGTGTGGCTGGCTCAAACAGTTAGCATCACCACCCACCATAGACCATGTGAGGTAAAGTGATTGCTGACGTGAAAAAGAAGAAGAAAGTAGATTCGGTAAATAAAAAGCACACGACCCAAATAAAAAACAACCTTGCCAGCCATGGAAATTCTTTAAAAAGAAAGTTTATTAAATTGAAATGTTATACCATAAAGGGAATTTATTATTAAATGGAGATATTGAATTGGTAGCTTATAAGGGGTATTTAGGAGATGGATAAGAAGCAAGCGATCGACATAAAAATTTTCGAATGTAATGGAAATCTCGGCAAAAAAAAACCTATTATTCTATATCCGAAGAAATAGGTCTCAATCAATTTGCTTTACCAAAAAAAATACCTAGGGCAGGAAAGTTAAACATAATAGGTAAAGTGAGCGCCATCTATATTTGAAATATCCTTCTATTATCCAGAAGTCAAGCAAATCCTGAAATAGGACCTTTCATTCAATGCCCGAAAAATATATTTTAATATCGTTGCGGAAAGGAAAATTGAAAATTTTTAAATCAATAGGTAAGTTCAGCGCCATCTATATTTCAAATATCCTTCTATCCTCCAAAAATAAAGCAAATCTCAAAAAACCTTTCATTCAATTCCCGAAAAATATATTTCAATATCATTGCATTCAAAAAATTCGCTACCAACGGCACAAAAGTTGAAAATGGTTAATTACATTTGGAACGCCATCTATACTTGGAAATTTTTTCTATTAAAAAGGTAGAATACAAATTTTTCATTGGAAAAATATTGGAATTACTGGCAACATTAAAATTCATATAAATTTAAAAAATTAACCTCTCTTTATCTGACCAGGAAAACTACACGACTACTTTAATATTTTTCAAGTAAAGATGGCGTTCCTATAACACATTGACAATAAGCAATGTTTCTTCTTTTCTTTTGCCCCCATCTAGTGAGAAGGTAAAGTACCTATTTCTTATTCAAAAAATATGGGAGTACTCGAGAAAATTAAAAATACAATTTGATATTTAGTCCCTTGCAACTGATTGGGAAAACACTAGAATACTTCAAGGTATTTGACGAATAGATGGCGTTTCCTTTGCACACCTGTCTAATGAGAAGGCTATGTACATATAAGAATTAATTTTGTTGGGAAAATATTGAACATTTTGTTAACATTCGAAAATACATATAAGATCTGAATGTTAGTCCCTTGAAAATGATCAGCTAAATACTCAAAGACTTCATTGTATCTAAAGTACAGATGGCGTTCTTTTTATACATTGACACAAGTAATTTTTCCTCTTCTGTGACCTTCATCAAATTATTTTATTTAAAGAAAAATGGTCTCGCACAACGTTTAATTACATATGTATATCACCTGAAGGCAACCCCTCTTGGAACTAATCAGGAATTATATTTTAAAACTTCAAGTTATTTGCAGGGTAGATGGTACTCTTTTTCAAATATTTAACTAAAAAAAAATTTATGTAAAATCTTTTTAATGTCTCATAACATAAAAATTTGTTTATGTTCTAATAGTTAGTCCTCTAGATCTAATCAGGAAAATTGCTTGAATACCTCAATGTATTTGATATGTAGATGACACTTAAATACACCCTGACAAAAAGCAACTTTAATGCCTTTTTTTCTTGAAAATAATGATGTGTAGATGGTGTTCCTATTTAACATTTTACTAAGAAAAATTGTCATTTAAACAAATCTTTTGAATATCTGATAACTTGAAAATGTATGTAAGTTCAGAAAATCAGCCCTCTACATTTTGTCAGGAAAAATATTTAAAGTTTTTAATGTATTTGAGGTGTAGATGGCGCTAAAAATACACATTGGCAAGAGGCAGCTGTTTCATGACAATATCGAAGTAGTTAATGATACTAAAATATATTATTTAGAATAAAATATTTTTAGAATTTGGCTTCTTGGAATTGATCAGAACTTTAATGTTTTTGAACCATAGATGGCGTTCCAATTACTCATTAGCTATGACAAATTTTGAAATGAAGTAAATTACCCATGAGAACTTTTCTTTTTTTTTGAAAATTTTTGGAGTAATTTTTAACTTTTAAAACATATAAGACCAGTTTGAATCTGAATTTAAATTTTTGATTTTAATCAGTTTTACAGCCACCATCAATCACACACTCCCACCACCGCCATGTATGCCTCTGTCTATCATTATGAAATCTACAGAACTTTCCATAACACAGACAACAACAAAAACATATGAAAACACACACAATCAATTATTCTCTGGGCGCTTTTTAATTGATACCGAACAATTGTGAGGAATCTTCATATAATATTGATTGCGAATCGTTCGTTTGTTTTTATTTTCTTTTATTTTAATTTGTTATGCCAAGCCCTCGACATTTCTGGAAATCTTCTTAAGTTCGATGTGTGTTTTAATGTCAGCAATTACAAATTTTATAGATATTTAAATGAGAAAATTAATTTTGACACCCAATGGACTTTTAATTAAAAATCTCACTTACGATGAGGCGCGATGGCTTTTGTATTGGAATAGTTCAGCAATAGGTGTATGTTTGTTTGTGTGTGTGCCTGTCTGAGTACTCGCTCGATATGAAGGAAGCAAATGATTTAAATTTGAATAATTTCAAATATGCCAAACAATAATATAAACAGATCAATTGCAGCGATTAATATTAATTGTTTTGTTGTGTATGCCCGGCAATTAGCACTTGTTGTGTTTATAAGGGGAAAATAACCACTTACTGTATTCATAAGAATCCATTCTTATTTTTTTTTGTTTTTTTTTTCGTGTAATCAATAATAAAAATATAACAATTTATTAATTTTTTTTGTTTTGTTTTAGATTTTAGTTCCACTCAATACTGCATTTTTCCAACAATAATCTCTGTCGTTTATTATTTAAAGATTCGCGACTTTTTTATAAATAGCTCTAATTAATTGACTAGCTCCCTCTTGTACAGATTTAAGACGTCTGATTATTTTGCACCATGGAATGCATCATTTATGATTGTCATTTCTTCATCGATGGATGATTGCAACGAAAAATGTTTATTGACATTACAATTTGATAGCCACGCCGGCATTGAGAGTAAAAATGGTATAAAGCTAAGATTTGCAGAAGAAAATTCAAAATAATTTCCGATTAAGTGACGAGAGCATCCTCAAGCTACACTTATCACCGGTAATGGTGATCAATGCAAATTTGTACTCTGATCCATAACATTGTTGAAAGTTAATTAATTTTGTGTTGTAATCCGCCACAAAAAATTAATATGTTTATATTAATAAAAAAAGAAATTTAAATAGAATGCACGGTCATTGTACTTATTTATATTTATTTATTTATTTTTATTTATTTATTTATTTATTTATTTATTTTTTTTTTTGTATTTAAATTTATTTTAAAGTCACTTGGCAGACTAAAAATTTGGTAACATTTACATCTTGTCTGGGAGATTATTATACCATTTTGAAATTTTTGTATCTTAATTAAAGAAAATAATGAACTGTTGCTCTATATTAAGCGCCTAGAATTATGCAATGTTGTCGGTGACGAATAAAGGAAATTGCCAAATATTGGCGTGCAGATGACGCTCATATTACACACAATCAAAAATCTTACTGCAAATATAGCGTATATTTAGGACTGAGAAATAAATCTGATCCCACTGCCCTCATAGGGATATAATATGTTGTTGTAATGCATATATAAGAACTTTTATGTATATAATCAAAATATATATATAAATAAAATATAGATGGCGCTTGTAACACATATAGCAAAATATAGGTGGCGTTTGTAACACATATAGCATAATATTTGCCAATTGTGTAACTTAATTATTAAAAAACCCCTATGCAACAATTATTTGGTATTCTTCTTTTAGCACCTTGAACCATACAATTTATTCAAAGGGAAATTGAGATACATTCATAAACTTTAAAGTGCAGATGGCGTTCCAAAATTAATGTGATTATTGGTCATTAAATGCCATCTAGGGACGAAAATCAATTCCTTATGAAGAAGGCTTGGTTTTTGGAAATTCTCTCTAAAAGAGTACGAAAAATACCAAAATGTACTAAAAACAACTAAAAAAGCTATAATTTCGGCCGGGCCGAAATTTGAATATCCTCTACCATTTAGAATGGATTTGGCAATTAAAAAAAATAAAATCCGTTAAATCTGAATCTGAAATCTGTTAAAATCTTAAAAATACCGAATGTAGCCCTTATATTAGGGCATATACAACGGACCTGCATTACAATATTCAAATGCGAAACTTGAAAAAATTCGGTGAATAATGTCGCTAAAATCATCAAAGTACCGAATATAGGGTTAGGTTATATAGGGCTAGGTTATATAGGGCTATAGGAATACGTGGACCTGCACAGACAATTTTCTGTCATGGGCTGTAGTATCCATTACGAACGTCAAATACCAAATTTGAAACAATTCCGGTGAAAATGTCGCTTGAATCACCAAAATACCGAATATCGGAAGGTGTCGTCATATGGGGGCTATACGAAGGTGTGGACCTGCACAGACAATTTTCTGTCTAAGGCTGTAATATCTATTACGATCTTCAAAGACCAAATTTGAAACATTTCCGGTAAATAATGTCGACTGAATCACGAAAATACCAAAAATAGGAAGGTGCCATTATATGGGGGCTATACGAAGGCGTGGACCTGCACAGACAATTTTCTGTCATAGGCTGTAGTATCTATTACGATCTTCAAAGAACAAATTTGAAACAATTCCGGTGAAAAATGTCGCTTGAATCACCAAAATACCGAATATCGGAAGGTGTCGTCATATGGGGCTATACGAAGGTGTGGACCTGCACAGACAATTTTCTGTCTAAGGCTGTAATATCTATTACGATCTTCAAAGACCAAATTTGAAACATTTCCGGTAAATAATGTCGACTGAATCACGAAAATACCGAAAATAGGAAGGTACCATTATATGGGGGCTATACGAAGGCGTGGACCTGCACAGACAATTTTCTGTCATAGGCTGTAGTATTCATTATGAACTACAAATACCAAATTTGAAACCTTTCCGGTGAATAATGTCGCTAAAATCATCAAAATACCGAAAATAGGGAGGTACCATTATATGGGGGCTATACGAAGAAGTGGACCTGCACAGACAATTTTCTGTCATGGGCTGTAGTATCCATTACGAACTTTAAATACCAAATTTGAAACATTTCCGGTAAATAATGTCGACTGAATCACCAAAATTTTCAAACAAATTGTGAATTTTGAGTGCTAAAAATGTCGAACTTAAACTGTTGGAACATATCTAAAATTTATTTTTTTTAACGAAGTAGAGGGCTCTTCCTTTTTTTTTATAATTAGCATTTATAATTTTTTTTTCCTCCATTTTCAGATCCCTGAATGTATCATCCTTAACAAAAAAGTTCCCGCCAAGATTGCAAATATTAAATGGATATGAAATTGGCAAGTCCCTTACCCTTTTCTCCAATTTTGGAAACAAATATTTTTAAATCCTGAATTTATTCTATCATTGAGAAATTGTGGCATTTATAAAAATACAATTTTTGTCACATTTTTTCTATTTCTATTTCATAACAAAAATAAATTTAATGAAAACAAACTAAATTTCCAAACTTACCACCACGAGTCACACTTTCTGGTTTGTTTTTAAATTCACACATTTTTTTTTTTTTGTTAAAAGCCGCTTTAAAGTTACAGAATACAAAAATAATCAGCTACGCTTCAACTTATTTTTCAATATGAAAAAATAATAATTTTTTCAAAAATCTTTTTTTTTTTGGATTTTTTCTGTTTACACAAAAATCACAATTTTATTTAACTTTTCAATTTGCAACATCAATAACTGTCACTTGTTTTGAAGTAGCAATTATTGTACTGATGCCTTCTGATTTTTGCGCGTTGCTGTCGTAGTTCTTCTCCCTCTAAGCAAAGCGAGTGATGAAGATGTTATACTTTTTGGATCCTCACATCGGAACTAACTGATTTTCTATGTGACAAATTAAACACTTTTATAGGCAAAAACGTCTATGGAGAAAGAGAGCGAGCAAAAACACATCCCATTGAAAGATAGCCGCAAAAAAAAACGGCGGTATTTTGATTTGATTTTGCAAAAAAGCAAAAAAACAACAAATAACGTAATCTTCGGGTAAAAGGATGGTGCAAGCGTCATTTGCTCGTTCGTACTCGAGCACTGAGATGAAAACTCAATAAACAAATTTTAAGATGAAAAAAAAATGTAAACAAAAATCTTTCACCGGCAGTTATTAAGGCATTAAAGATATAATATATTGCTAGCATCAAAACACACACACAAACACAGATAGTTATTCGTAAGGGGTAAGAGACTACATATCATTGCGAAACATAACAGAAATTCTATCAGGCCATTACCACTGTGGGCCTTTGGTTTTCTTGTGATAAGCTTTTCCGTGTCAGTAGGTAATTTGACAAGAAGTTACAAAAATTTTACATAGAAGCGCTTTTGAGAGAAAAGTATTTTATCTATAAAAGACCTGTAAAATAAAAATAATACCTTTTTTAGACCCCTCTAGTAAGAAAAGACAATTTTTTTAGATCTTCTCATGGTATAATACCTTTTACAGACCTTCTGTAGATAGAACTTTTTTAGGTCCATTATGAATACTATTCTTCTGTAGACCTTCTACAGGTCTTCAATCTATACCTTCTATTTGTCTTCTATGAAAGGAAGTTGTTTTTAGGTCTTTTATAGATAGGCATCTTACAATACTTACAAGCCAAGAAACGACTCTCAAGTGAGTCTCCAAATAGTGAAAAAACGTTCTTTAAACGGGAGCATAATTTCTAAATATTACCTAAATATCAGGAATTTATAAATATTAAAAAATAACATTTTAAGGTAAAGGTCGCACTTTGTAAAACTATAAACTCGATATTAGACTATTGGGAACTTGAAAATTTTCAAAAAATGCCCTATACAAAGATGTGGACCTACATAGAAAATTTCCTGTCATAGGTTGAAGTACCCATTACGAACTTCAAATATGAAATTTGAAAAATTCCGGTGAATACTGCCGCTAAAATCATCAACATACCGAAGATCGGGGGATACCGTTGTATGAGGGTTATCCGATATCGCGAACCTATGTAGACAATTCTATTCCAGGTAGAAAAATACTCAGAAAGAACTCCTTGTGTGGATTTTCAGACAATTCCATAGAAAAATGTGGCTACAAATCATCAAAATACCGAATATCGGGAGGTACCGTTGTATGGGGAGGGTATGCGATATCGTGGACCTATGTAGACAATTCTCTTCCAGGTGGTAAAATACTCAAAAGGAACTCCTTGTGTGGACTTTCAGGCAATTCCATTGAAAAATTTGGCTACAGATCATGAAAATACCAATTATAGGAAGTTAATACCAAATTTAGTACCATTTAGTACTTTTTGTAAAAATATAGGACGCATTTCCGAACTACCGCCAAATTTTCAGCACACATATGATCAGTATTCAAGATATGAAATTTCAGAATCGCATCTCTTTTCCATACACTCAATACCAAATATAGTACCATTCGGGATTTTTCGTGTAATTATAATACACATTGTCGGAACCATCTTCATGTGTCCAGGCTACACATGAAAAGCCACCCTTATACCAAATTTCAGATTTCAAGTAATGTATAAAATTGTACCCAATATAGAACTATTTAGTACTTTTTGTGCACTTGTAGTACATATTTGCAAAACCACCTCTTTATCACAGATCTACCACAACAGGGATAAAATTCCCACTTTAGACAATCAACCTAAACCAAACTGTTCCATATTTTCGTACACTTAGTACCTATTTACAAAACCACCTTCATATATCAAATAAATTTCCAACCTTGAATCTCATATCATATTTCAAGTTTTTTAGCTCTATTCGTTCACGTAGCAGGTAATGTTAACATTTTAGAAGTTTAGTACAATTTTAGAACGTTTACTACATTTTAAATTTGAATTTCTAAAAATTCTTTGGTACACCTATCCTGCAGTGCACCAGTGACTTTCATTCCAAATTCTAGCTTATTTCCTCCAATAAAAAAGTATTAAATTCAAATTAGTACGTTCGAAATTCCATCTCTATTGCTTCATCTAAATCCAAATTGTACCAAATTTAGTACATTTTAGTACTTATTAATACAAATTTCCGAAACTACCTACATATCCCAATCCTATATTCCGACTGCAATCTTATTTCCAATTTTCAGATACCAGCTCTATTCATTCACCCAAATCCAAATTGTACTAAATTTAGTACAATTTAATACACTTAAGTCCACTAGAAATCTTATTTCCAAACGTCAGAATTCCAACTTTAACGGTTCTACCAAAATATCAATTGTACCAAAATTTAGTTCCATTTGGTACATATAAGTACACATTTCCAAAACTACCCAAGTCCTGCAATGCAATAGTAATTTTCTTTCCAAGTTTCAGAATTCCGACTCTATAGGTTCTCCCAAAATTTTAATTGTACCAAGTTTGGTACTATTTAGTACACATAAGTAGAAATTTCCAAAACTACCCACATACCACATTCCTACAATGCAAAGTAATTTTATTTTCAAATTTAAGGATTTCCAAATTGATCCAAATCCAATTGTTCCAAATTTAGTACCATTTAGTACCTTTCCTGCACATAGATACAAATTTTGAAAATTACCTCCATACCGAAAACTCTCGTTCCATCCGTTCCTCCAAATTCAAATTGTACAAAATTTAGTACCGTTTAGTACTTTTCGTATTAAAAAGTACACACTTCCAAAACGACCTCCTTACATCGACCCTACTCCTCAACCTTCATACCCATTTCAAATTTCAAGTTTTTAGACCTAACCGTTCACATAATGCGAAATCGTACCAAATGTAGTACATTTTAGTACTTTTCGTACATTTATAATGCGAATTTCCAACATCGCTTTGGTACATCCATCACTCACTCATTCTACGTTCTGAGAGACAAGTTGAAGGCAAACCGATTGGAAAAAGGCCGTGATTCTTAATAAAACTAACAGGAGGAGGGCTATACCATATCCTGGACCTATATCGATAAGTTTCTGCAAGGAAAGTTCCTAAATACCAAGTATTAAAAAATATTTAAAGTTAGCGAAATATGATTGAAAATATGGTAGAGAGAAAATAGTTTTCATTACTAGAAATGTTGGGTAGCAATATAAGGGAATTCAGTTCTTCGAAAATGTAATTCAATATAACTTCTTGAAAAATTTTTGCCTAGATGTTTTCCTTTTTATTCCTTCTATATTTCCTTTCAAATTCCTTTTAAATATTCCAAAAAGGATGTCTCTTTCGCTTGCCAGCTAATCCAACAAAATACCACCCACGATTTAAGAGAGCAATAAAACACAACATTTTTTATCTCTCTTTTTCTCTCTTCCAGCATACATAGATATTCTGGAACAGTTAATTTTGTTTATCATGCTAAATTCAAATTCCTTTGGATTCTAGATGTTACCATGGCAAAATATTAAATTTAAATATAGTTTGTTTTTCCCAATTTTGTTGCCTACGGTTAACAACAAAATAACAATGTTTTTCTTTTATTTTTCTTTCTTTCTTAAGAAAATATATAATATCATTATAAACTATTATGGTACTCTAATTAAGCTGCCAAGCCATATGCAAATAATTGCAAATTCACACGACAACAAAGTTTATTGCCGTGTGGAGGATCATCGTCACCCTCATCATTATGGCACTAACACACATTTAAAGACTCTTTACTTTTTGGAAAACACCTTCTCCAACCACGCCCCATCTCTACACTTCTGCTTGCTCGTGGATAAGATAAGATGCCTGCTAAATTTTAAACTTGACGTATGTAGATACACATGTGTATGCAGTGTTGTATCGTTGTTTTTTTTTATAACCACACCACTACAACGATTCCATTCATCAGGAATTTGGGGAGACAACTGGGCTTTATCATTATTTTGCCATTTACTTTGTTTTCCGTTACGATGACTTCGTTCGTTCGTTCGTTATACTTACGCTGACAATTATTGTCATTTGTGTGACACATTTGTTATGATTACGAGATGTGATAATGTCATTGCACGGATATAGATGTCGCTTTCGTTTTCTTTTGAATGTAAACAATAGTGTAAAGAGTAAAAGTATGTTTGTTTGCTTGCAAAGTTTACATTTTTTTTTTGTAAAATGTATGAATCATCCCAGGCATATATATATGGACCCGTATCAAAGTCCATTGCGAAAGGCAACAGGTCCACGAATTGATTAAAGTAAGAAAATAATATATTGCTATGGAAATAGTTTTTAGAAAAAATGTCCATGTGACCTTAAAAGTGGTGAAATAGGGTATGAATAATTATCCTGTATAAGAAACAAGGTTTTCTCTCCATAGATAACATATGGAAGATCTTTTATTTGTAAAGACTTGAACACAATTTTCTATTCATTGAGAACCACCAGATTTTCTGTTGTTACCAGAACTGTACAAATTGATATATATATAACATATGACAGAAGACGCATAGAAAGTATTCCAATTTTTAAGATTTGTAGAAGGCCTTCTATTTATGAGAGATTGAAAGATGTGAGTCGATTCAATGAATTCTACTCAATTAGTGAACATTTGTCAAAACGTTTTTATATTTAACAAGTAAAAATGGTGTAAGTTCGGCCGGGCTGAACATTGAATATCCTCCACCATTCGGAACGAATTTGGCAATTTTCAAAAAATAGGCAACTTTTATCATAAGCCATTACAATATTCAAATGCGAAACTGAAAAAAAAAACATTCGGTAAATAATGTAGCTAAAATCACTAAAATACCGAATATCGAGAGGTGCCGTTATATGGGGGCTATACGAAGAAGTGGACCTGCACAGACAATTTTCTGTCATAGGCTGTAGTATCCATTACGAAAATAAAATAGCAAATTTGAAACAATTCCGGTAAATAACGTCGCTAAA